TAATGAAGAAAACTTTAATATAAATTTAACATAACAGCAAATGTACAACGTCAGACAAAACCTTGTCAAAACGTTGTACATTTGCTGTTATGTTAAATTTATATTAAAGTTTTTCTTCATTACCCATTCAAGCCATCTCCAAAGTTCAGATATAATATCAAAGTTGCTGATGTCTCTTTTTGAGAAGATATGAGTAAAGCATGTACTTTGAAATGCATCGTATATCAGAAATTTACCACATCCTTTTTTTTCAATAATTTAAGATCCTGGTTAGCGAGAAACCCATCCTTGGTGCTGCCATTCACACTTTCTTAAAAAGTATTAAAATAAACAGGGAAAGTATGCAATAGGTGCAGAATGGTTTAAAAAGGTGACAGTAATTTTCAGAATTTAAAAATCCTTTCTGGTCACACAGAAATATGTGAAAATGATTGGCTACCTCCCCGACTTCCCAAAAAAATCAAAGAAAAGAATTGGAATGATTTGATTTTAACAAATATTAAGAGTTATTTTAGTTCCAATGACATTAATTAATTAATCAATTTCAATGCATAATTAGTGAGAATAAACATGTTTCTAGTTTTCTTCTAGTACGTTTTCAATCACAATGTCCAAATCTTGTAACGAAACATTCTCTTCAGCACACTTTTCTATAAGAACATCTTGCTTTGCCTTTTCTTTTTTTACTAGCTTTTGGATCTTGTATACTACTCCATGTCTACTTTGGGAGATATCATGGCAATGACTTGCTGTACAAATAGCTGTAGAATCACAATTTAAACACATTTCACAGCTTTTGCAGCTTCCTTTCTTTTTGTTTTTATGTTCTCCATATAGTCCTGGCCTTCTTGTAACTTCGGTTATAGTTGTGCCATGCAAAAATGGAAAGCTGATTATGAAACAGCTGAATTTTTTACATACGGCAGTGTGATCCAGTTTTTATGGTATTTTTTCATGCAAAAAATGATTCTGAAATTTTAATTCTTTTTCTGGCAAAAAAACAAATTTTGGGTGGGTTTCTGACAGACCAGGATCTTAATAAAAAGTTAAAGACCAAATTTGCTTGAACTCAGACATGTTAGAAGTTTATCAATTTTAACCTTTTGCAATTGTTTTTATCATTTGCTCTATTTTCCTAATAAAATAATAACAGACTGGAACTTTAGTTTGTTAGTAAAACTTAAAAATAAGATATGAAGCATTATTTTTGAAAATAATGCTTCATATCTTATTTTGAGATACCTCAAATTAGCTTATTCTTTGTTTATTAAAGGACTGTGTTTCCATAAGTTGTAGTTTATGGTACATGTAGCATACAAGTATATTTATCGAAACTTAGGGAAATGATTAAGTAGTGTTCCCACTCTGTGTATTACCTGTGTTTTCTTGAAAGCACCTATATTAACCTAAATTTTCATAAAAGATTCTGTATTACCTGTATTTTCAGAATTTTATGAATAATGTAGTTTTCCCACATATCATATAGCACTCTTGTAACAAATATTAATATTGTGCATAATAGATTGTAAAGTGTTCTAGGAAATCTTTCCATATCTCTGTATAATTTTGACAAATATTTGTATCTAACGACTGTATTTTACAGTACAAGTTCCTTTTGTATAACCAGAACATTTATTGGCCTCAGCAGACTTCCAATAAACTAATTTGAAATTATAAAGGCAAATTCTTTATCACATGCATTTCCCTTGTTTGATGAGGTCTAAGTGACTTTGTCAGTCAGGAAGTACGTAATGCATTCATTACATCTGCACTGAAATGCAGTACTTCCAATAAACTAATTTGAAATTATAAAGGCAAATTCTTTATCACATGCATTTCCCTTATTTGATGAGGTCTAAGTGACTTTGTCAGTCAGGAAGTACTTAATGCATTACATCTGCACTGAAATGCAGTACTTCCAATAAACTAATTTGAAATTATAAAGGCAAATTCTTTATCACATGCATTTCCCTTATTTGATGAGGTTTAAGTGACTTTGTCAGTCAGGAAGTACTTAATGCATTACATCTGCACTGAAATGCAGTACAGTTTTAAGAAATGACAAATAAAACATTGTTATGCAAAGTGGAGAATGAACTGACAGTAAGAGGAAGTTGGAGGCCACAGTGTAAGGAATGTTTCCATAATTCTTCAGTATACTAAAATTTGTCATTTGCAATGTGATTTTACAGGTTTTAATAATTTGTATGTCAAAAATTGAATAAATGTGGTATTTTGAGTCATGTGTTTACTTGGACATTAAAAAGTAACTTCAAAAGCATATTTTACATGCTTGTGCATTAAATGTTGGATGGTAGTTGAGGAGGTTCAGCATTATGTTTTGTATTATTGTTACTCCAAGAATGTACAACCTTTTTTTTTTTGCTAATTTTGTTTTGTTATTGTTCTAGTTGAGCTCATGTTAACTTTTTATTGTCCAGGAGAAAGGAGCTGTAACCTATCCATTAACCATTATTGTTTACGGATTAGAAAAGCATCAACAAGCAAGCCTAATCTTAGTTTTGAAATAAGTAACTATATTGATTCTGTTTGGACATTATATTTTCAGTATGTGTTTTTACTTCTAATCTTTTTTTATTTGTACATTTCTGTTTAGATTTTACTAGAAATATGAACAGTAGTTGTAAGTAACTCTGACTTGATCCTAGGGCTATGGGTGATCAGATTGGAGAAGCAAAAGCCAGTGGTAACCTTGGAAACACACTAAAAGTAATGGGGAAATTTGAAGAAGCTGTCATTTGCTGTAAGAGACACTTAGAAATTTCAAGAGATTTAAAAGACAAGGTAATGTAAAGTTGCTAGTTCAATTTGAACATTGAATAAATTCAATTAAAACAAATCTTGATACTTACATGGTAAATAAAGGGCAGCTTGGACTTTTTCAAGTTGTATTGAACATAAGGTAAACTACAAAGTAGCAAATGGATAGTAAAGGAAAATTAGTTGTTATAAAGAAAATGTTATACTTTCACAGCAGATACATAAAAGTCTTATACCACCATTTCTTGATGTAACTGTCTTCATCTGGTTTCACTCTGTTTATGATGATAATAATAATAATAAATGTTGGGAAGTTTCAGTGTGGGTTTAACACTATTGCAATGGGTCATGTGTCAAAGGCCATGTCATCGAGTTTGTTGACTTGCATTCAAAATTTTATTGAACTACTATTTTATGAATTTATGTCAATAAGTTTGATATCAAATTGTAAATTATATTTCAAATTTGAGTATTATATGTTAGTTAAGTTCTTAATGTAAAGGTAAATATTAAAAAACGAAGCTAAACATTGATTTTTGTGTGTCACATGGTATGTTGAATGCAGCACTGTTTCAAATTAGATGTTTGTAATGTCAAAATACAAAGTATAGTTTCGTATGAATTAGGAACTCAAACTAGAAATATTGAAAAGCTAGAATATAAAATAAGAACTTCTTATCTTTTCCATTTTGTTAAGATATTGCTCATGTACTGAATCAAACACAGTGCCCCCACCTCTTTCCATTTTTGGGAATGCTCCCTTATATACACTTACTTCTATATATGACATGAATAACCAATTGAAAGCTCAGAATATATATATATATATATAAATGTATAATGTTATGAGATTTCAGCTATTTAGACTAAACTATTTTTGTTTTTGTGTTATAACTTGTTGTCATTCTAGAACAAAAAAGCATAATTTAAATTTATTTCCTAATTTTTCTATGGTGGTTACAAGGCCAGTCAAATTGACAGACCATATAGACTTAGGGTAGAGAAAATAACAGAAAAAATATAAAGTTTTAGTGAAAACAAATGTTTGAAATGTATTTAGGAGGTTTTAGAGATTACACAAATAATATTTGAGATTTTTGGGACAAACAATAGTTTTTAGTTATAGCATGAAAATCACTTCACACTTGGACTGGTAATGAAACAGACTCGATATTTTCAAAAACAAATCTATAATAAAAATACTTCATTAAAAAATCTGATTTTTTGTGTACAAAAGACTTGTAATCTTTAATAAAAGTCTACTAAATTCTGTGATGATACACTTACCACATTAAAAAGTTATAGCATAAATACTTAACATGAGCAAACGTGTATACGAACTCATGTATATTATATCGAGCCCATCGCAAAAGGGTTAAAAACCTAAAGAAATGTATATATGAATGTACTGTTAAATATTGTACGTCAGAAAATTAATTCTACAAGTTCATACTTACAGTGTCCCATATCTGCAATTTAATTTGCTTTCCATCAATGGTAATCATACGAGCTCCAAACTCCACACCTGTAAGATTAATTAAAATATTGCCATGCTGAGTATTTTTATGCACTTTTCTCTAATATTGAAGTTGACAGCTTAGAAAGACAATACAAAAAAAAAGAAAGAAAGTTAGAAAAGGATAATCTTGAATAACATTACAGTTATAGGTCATATTCATATTATAGGTCATAATGCTTACATGCAATTCAGTGTTGCACACACTGAAAACTGTTTCTTGTCAAATCAATCACAAAATTTATATGTCAACTACAATAAAACATCCTTATCATTTATTACCAAACACATAGTACAAAAACAATGTTATTACTAGCTAGTTATCTTAATTGCACATTTTAAAAGGGAAACTTGTTTTATGAAATATGTATACACATTTTTTAAATCTCTTGTAGAGGCTTGGTCAAATCAGCTAAGTCTGTGACAGCACATTGAACTTTATGTTAGGTCGTCAAGAAATTACTGTCGCATTTTGGAACACTTTCATTAACTACCCAAAAAATAACATAATCACGTATAATAG